GCAGACAACCGTTCCAATATTTTTTGTGTGTTAGAGTGAAAGAAAATGGAGGGCGTTTATTGGGTATTAATTTAGCGCATGTAAAAACAGATCTGACACTCAGATTAAAAATTTGACAGTTGTTTTGATCGCGTCTTCGTACTAACTATTATACATATTTTCTGAGCATTGAAATATCGGTTCTTTGGCATATTTTCATATCCAGTAACACAAGTATTAAAATTTGCCAGAAATCCAGATTTGGGAATTGTCAAGATGACATTTCAATTATATGAAAACAGTGACTAATTTGATTAGGATTTTTTCGTCTTAGTTCATACGAATATTGCTTGTGACGCAATGGAAAAGATACAGCGGTTTAGTTTAGTTTTCGTAATAGCTTACGGAGAGGATGCTCTGGATCGTCACGATTTAAAAGGGGTCGTCAGTCATTTGAAGATGATTCTCGACCAGGAAAGCTTCAACTGATGACTTCCACCTTCATAAAATCAAAGAACTGGTGAGTGTAAATCGCCAATTTTCTGTCGAAAAAACTGCAGAAGAGGTTAGCTTCTCAATTAGGTCCTACCATGAAATTTTGACTGAAAAATTGAACATGCATCGAGGTGCAGCAAATTGTTCCTCGTTTAATGACCGAACAATAGAAAGAAAATCATGTGAACGTTTCTCGGCAACTTCGAAGGATCATAACGAGAGACGAAAGCTAGGTTTACGGCTACGACTTTGATACAAAAGTTCAATCATCACAATGGATTGGCAAAGGATCTCCATGCATGAAAGCACGTCAGTCTCGATTCAATGTCAGCTCATGGTTCTTGCACAATAACAATGCACACTCAGCTTTGTCAATTCGTCAGTTTTGTCCTCCTTCACCCTCCTTACTCACCAAACTTGGCTCCTTGCGATTTTTTCTAATTTCCGAAATTAAAATCACTTCTGAAAGTACGCCGTTTTCTGATAATTGATGACAGCAAAGTAAATTCGTCACAGACTTTGAAGACCATTTCAAAATGAAGCTATCCAGAACTGCTATGCGAAATAGAAACACCGCTGGAAAGTCTCAAAATAGGAGAGAGGAGTAATTTCAAGGAAGCAAGAACAAATAATGTATAAAATTAATAATAAAGTTTATAAAAATAAAGCTTCGGTAATTTTCTGAACGAACCACGCACTTCTCAAAAATTGCGCTTAACTCTGAACCATCTTGTATTTTTCACTGTACTGAATTTTATTTATGATGAAGCTTACAAACGAAGAACAATTTCTATAAACAATACTTTTGTAGATCCTTGTTATAGGTAGGAATTATTACATTACGAAATACAAAATTACAAACTTCGGTGTAGTAATGCAACAGCCAAATAAATCATTGAAATTCAATTGGCACGCGGAGAAACAACGCAAATCAAGTGGGATGGGTGAGTAATTTTAATGATGGATAATGAAAGAAACACCTACATCTACCCAGTACGGTCTTGGTTTGATCATCATTGCATACTTAGCAAACGTATACGTTAATAAATGAAAGCTAGCCTGCTATTCCAGCTTTCTCAATCTATTATAGATACTGGTTGTATACATTGTTTCTGCAGAACACACTGAACAAGTCAATGATACATTTTCTCTGCATGTTAAGATGTAGATTTTAGATTGCTATCTAAATTTATTAATAGCAGTTGGTATTTAATACATTTCTCATGTGGCAATTTTATTTTTACGCTTAAGCAATGCTTGGAATAATAGAATAGTCTTTGGCGGGTATTATTTTGAAATATATTGGCGTCTCAAACCTCAAGCACGTGTAATTTCGGAATACGAAGAAAAGTGTACAAAAATAAAAGTTGCAGGAAACTTTTTAAAGTGTTTAATACGTTTAATATGTTTTAAAACATTATGTGTTGAGATACAGACGTGAAATATATTTATATTTTTTTATTTAAACTAAACGAAAAAATTCAAACGCACTGATTGGCTGCAGTACAACAATTGACGTAGGTATATTTTTTAATTTTTGTTTAATATTAATAAAATATAATAATAATAATAATTAAATTAATAATTAAATAGTAATTATTGTTATAGCAACCATCATTTTCTTTATCAGACCTACTTTGACTGAAATATGAAATTATATTTTTTTAAAATGCTTGTAACTTCTAAACAAAATAGAATCGGTCCTATGTTCATAGAAGAAAAAATGTTTGAAATTAACCCAGCCACCATCTGTCAAAGTTTGTCATAAGCTTGTAGAACATCATGTATAGGTAATCAAGTTTATAAACAATTGCAAGTAACAGTCATTTGCCTCAGTCACAATATGACTCCAGAAGAGGGAGTAGTACTTTAATTGCCTTAATTACTGTTGCTGATTACTTAATAAATGCACAAGACATGGAACTAGTGATTGTTTTAGATTTATTAGACTTCTCTGAAACCTTTGATATGATCCACCATAAGCTTCTTGTAAACTTAAGCATTAGGTGTATGGTTGATGATCATTTACACTCATTAATTCTTGGTCACGTGGAAGATATCAACAAAAATTTGTTAATGATTTGTTCTCTACTAGTTTCTGGTGTTCCTCAGAGTTTTTAGGACTTCTTCAACAACCACTTATGCTAATGATAGCCAAGTGTGTATATTTTCAATTTAATAATAAGTCTTTTATCAGAAAGGTGATATCATCAGTTCTAACTTATGAAATGTTAAGGAATTATCTAAATATGATTAAACCATTCCAAAAATAATTCTTGATAGTAAAGCATTACTTAAAATATTGTATTCCTCTCTCAGATTAATTCATGGTAGGTAGTCTTCATATTCTTAATAGTAAACATAAATCACTTATTGTTCTTTCCCATATTAATTAGATAATTATGTTTATAGTTGAATCAACAGGGAAAAAACAGAATCCAAAGAAAGTATTTGTAATTTTGTCCATAAAATTCTAATCATTCCATCTTATAACTTGTTTATGACAAATATTTTTAAACGTTATAATATTCGTTCGATGAAAATCAGACTTAAACTTAAATATATACAATACCATATCATCGAAATGTCTCTTAACAGATTTTTTTCTTGATAATTTTAAAATACGATTATAGTTGCTTTTATAATTTGTACTTGATCTATATAAAGCTGATAAATTATTATTATAGTAGAAAACCCTCAAAACGTGAACAAAGAACATAAGTAAATGTAAATACAAATACATGAAGAATTTATATTTACATTAACTTAAGTTCTACTTTTTTAAAGCGATTTTCGTCATGGGCAAAACTTGGATAAAATCTACACTTAGATAACGTCTTCAAACCTACCATAACATTTCAATTCAATCAGTTCTGTTTATTAGGTATTTGGATATGAAACTAAATTATAATTGCATTGTTTCTAGCAATACCTGCACATGGACAGTTTAATCTTTTGAACATATGTATATGTGTGTATACTCTTAATACAACAAGCGATTACTAAAAAGATAGTTTATTTTTCATTTTATTGTAGTTAATATATGGTATATTTTCATATATGGACGGATAGGCACCAAGTGTTACTTATGTTATACTGCTAGATACACTATTGTACATTTCTAAGCAAGAAAAAATTGACATGATCCAGTCAACTTTTTCCTATTGATTTTTAAGAGCTTCTTACGTTCCAAGGATTTTGATATTTGTGCTGAAGACTATGTTTTTCTAATACCATTAACCTGCTGGTTCCGATAGAATAAATTTAACAATTTAAAACGTTTTGATTTTTGTACAACACTACCGTTAAACTTTACGACGTACAATATCAAAACTGAACATGCATACCTATCTATGATATGCTTATAAAAATGATATACACAGGGTGTATCACGAAGAGGGCCCAGTAGGATTATCTCAGAAAGTGGTTCAGAATTGCAATCTGAAAATTTGTATACAGGGGTTTATCAAAAAGACCTATTAAATGAAAATAGTGTCAACTTCCTCGCACTTCCGGTTATACCGGAAGTCATCATCAACTATGTTTCGAATGGAACACTCTGTATATTTTACATTTTTTAACTGTACGGTAAAATCTAGACTAATTTCATAGAAGGTACTATAGGCCAAAATGAAATTAATAATTTTCAATTTACACAAAAACTGTTGACTTTGGGTACAGGGAACTATAGTATCATTTTAAAATAAATTTTATTCTGCATCCATTAATTTAATAATATACAGGGTGTACGATTTGAAATATTTGAGTAAATTCAACTTTAACGTTACAATATTGGCTACACGTTTTAAACACTATGTATGAATTTTTGCAAATTTGACATAAGCTGGTTGAATTCCATTGCTTTTAAATTATTCACGCCAAAATTCATTAATAAGTAAAGCTAAATGTCGGAGTTATTCTGTTTTCAAAAATCACTTGCATCCCTCAATTTTTGATAATAACTTGAAAACTGTCACATTTTGGCCTGTAGTACGCTCTATGAAATTAGTCTAGATTTAACGTAGAATTAAAAAAATGCAAAAAATATAGAGAGTGTTCCATTTGAAATGATAGAGTTGATGATGACAGCATAACCGGAAGTGCGGGGAAGTTGACACTATTTTCATTGACTAGATCTTGTACTCCTATAGATACATTTTTAGATTTCAATTTTGACTACTTTTTGAGATAATCGTACTGGGCCCTCTTCGTGATACACTCTGTAGTTAAGTTCCTTAGGATTTTAATATACATGCATATTCGTATTTGCCACCTAAAAAAACATAAAAGTGCAAATTTTCAAAACAATCGGTCCATACATTCTTAAAATATAGCAAAAAATTGAAAATATTTTTTCAACTTTAACACCCTGTAGAATGAAAAGGAGCAACAATTGACTAAGGCATGTTTGACTCAATCACTATATTTTGACGTTAACAATCTGCCATTAAGCTGTGTACCATTATTAATGACTCGCCCTGTATAATTAAATTTACATTATGTGCTCATGATATTTTCTTTTACAGATGTCCCAAACATGATAATTCGTTGGGGAATCATTTTTGGATTAATTCTGGTATCAATTTCAATCGCCATAGCTAAGAGAGGTAAGTAATCTAATATTACATTAGTTTAATAGTCGTATCTTCCAACTATCGAATACATTTATTTATTACCAACATCGCACGGCTGGTATTGACAAATAAAAATAATAATTTTACTACATGCATTTTCATTACTTACATTAAAACATTTTATTAAATTGTATTTGTCTTCATTTGAGTAAAGAACTTGTTTGTCTTCAAAGCGTTCTCACAATCAGTCAGAAAACTTAAATATCGTTGGTATTTTGAAACAATTCACAGTAACCCTTTAAAACCGACCAATTTGAACCACTTAATACTTACTTTTTGTCCGTTCTTATGCGACACACCCTGTATGAAGAAAAATATTCAAATTATTTTTATTCGTTTAGCAGTAGCCACGGGAAATAATGTTTATGAACTAAGACATGCAGACAATGACACATTATGAGAGGTAAAACAATCAGATATGCCATACCGGGCATAAATGATGTTTAACCCTATGGAACCTCTTTCAATTAAAATTCAATGATCACACCTAAGTGCCCAACGTAATGGTTACAAAGTAAAAGTGAAGTAATTTTCTTCCTGCGTTTTAACGTTTAGACAGGAGTTGCCAGTTCATTAAATTTTCGCTTCCTGGGGTCTAATTAAAACGGAACTGAGAAATTGTTAAATTATACATACATTTTTTAACCTATACGAGTGTATGCGTGGTAACGCGCGAAGTATATTAGAAAAGTGAGTAATTGGCTTCCTCTGATCTTCGTCACGCTTTCTAAACTGGTGTATTAATTCACGATTCCACATTACGTAAAAATGTGTACCCCATTGAAATTACTTCATAAATCTTCTATGTTCAACCTTCACTGATTTCAAGCGACAAGTGGCAAGTGTTGTAGAACAGTAATTAAAACTTTAATTAATTTGAATCCGTTTTAAAAGTGACGACATGTAAATATTTTTATAATTAATACACAGAGTAATCTTGGGGTCGATATCAATGGTGTGAAGATTGAAATGGTCTCAGAGATTAAATACCTTGGTGTTGTATTAGATCAACAATTAAACTTTGGCAAACATGATTATATATGCAAAAAGAACACGTATCACGCTAGTGTAAATTACTAATGAATTACTACTGAATTATTTATATGATTATTTATCCTTTTATAACATGTTGTTCATCTCTGTTAATATCTTGCAACAAAAATGAACTCAAGATTTTACAGAATAAGGCTATACGCATATTTCTTTAATGTAGTAAATACACACCTTTAGTTTATATGAAAACTCAACTGCAATGGCTTTCTATAGATTAATTTATTGAGCAAACGTGTTTAATTCTAATTTATAAAATTGAACATAAGTTATTGCAAGAGTATTTAAATAAATTTTTAATTAAAAGGGCAGTTATTCATGGATATGATATACGTTCGAAAGAAAACTTCGATATTCCGAGATCTAAATCACAAAAAGATTTGTTTCATAAGAGGCTAAAGCTTCCAAAAAATGTAAAAATGGCAACAAACTTAAAAACATTTAAAAGTATGTTGAAAAAGCTGTATTTAGAGTTAAGTGATAATTGATATTAAGTACCACTTATGTAATTTAATAAGCTTTCGCTAAATAAAGGATTTTATTATTATTATTATTATTAATTAGTAGTTCCCTACTAGTGAGGTAGAAACGTCATAGAAAATTACAAAATTGTACTAAATATTTTAAATGGTAACTTTCTTTGTTTTAGAAAAACATGAATTAATTTATTACCAAGATGATGTTAATTGATGACAATGAAAAACAAAAACTAGCCTAACGGACACACTATAATTTCTCACTTGCTTATTTAATTTAATGCATTTTCCATTTCCGAGTTGAGGACATTTTAAAAAAATATTGAAAATAAAAGACACCAAAACTTCAATTCTGAATCGTGTACAGTTTTATACTGATAATTTAGCACAATTCAGAGAAGTTCAACAGTTGTTTTAGATTTAATTATGTCGGTACAAAAATTGTTTTTATGTGCTATACGACTCGAAGCAATTGAGGACATTCTTAATTGGTCTTAATTAGTTTATTAAAATCTCCTGCTACTTTATCCAGGTAATTTATTTTGCAATCATATTTATACGATGAAACCGTTGAACTTATTCCATGAAATTTTAAACGTGGCTATTCAATAATGGCCCTTGTAATCATTGCAGCTTTGAACACAATACTTTTCAGTTTATGTGGTCTTTCGTCTGTAATAAGAGCTGCAGACTTATAGTATCACGGCTAAGTGGTTCCGAACAATGAACCGCTGTCGCAGTAAGATCTGTTTCAGTGAACAGACAGGAGTATTCACATGGCCAGAAATATCGCAATGTACAGGGTTAAAGTTAAAATAATTCACATTTGGTATAAGATATTATGTCTTCATTTTTTATTGTAGTGATAATAAATGAACTAATTTAGAGGTGGAGATTCATACATGTTTTTTTAACAGTACTTCTACACCACTGAAATTTCCGCAAGAATAGTAAAACTCTTTGGAGGAATAGGGGAAATTAAAGACGATAATTTTATTACTTTTCAGAAAGATGTGCCGTTTTCATGAAAACTGCAAAATGTAGCTTTAAGACGGTAGTGAACTAGAAACTCATCTCTTTGGATGCTAAGGCTTATCATAATCATTCAATTCCTTCTCCTCGAATAATCACCAGTCTTTTTTCCAACTTTAGTGAAGCAAAGAACGCTCAGCGGAAATCGGAATTTTTCCTTTTTTTCCTATGTTTCGAATTCAACCACCTAAACTGTCCACAGTGCCGCGAACCATTCCAAATACACTGAGCCACATCAGAACCATATGTTAGAGCTAGAGTGATCGCCGACAACTCTTGGGGACGCCCAAAATTTCGATTTTTTCCGCGAAGACGCCAGAAATTCTACGAAATTCTAGCTGGGACACAAAATCGAGTCGCCTTATATAAATCTAGAATAACTGCCAGATTGAACGATGGGTAAACCAACAGCTGCGAATCGCGCGAAGCAGAGAGGCCAGATGTAAGAATTCAAACGGAACATCAATCCTCAATAATTCGCGGAGCCACCCCGAAATGTGATCAAACGTCGACTCTGAGACTATCTCGCAGTTCTGACATGAGTACACGATTCGAATTCAAGCGTATTCGTTACCTTTCTATACCTTGAAGCTGCCATTGCTTATTTAGAGGAAAATAAGTCCCAATGCTGGGACTAGTGAGGGTTCCACAGAACGGTCCATAAAACCTGAAAAAATAATTTTTTTGCTGATCCATTGGTCGAATTCCAACTACTTAGTTGTATTATATAGATTGTTTCTGTCAATTTACATTTCTTTATATGGATATTTGATATGGATTTTATTTTTTTAACTGTGTTCCAGCAATTCGACTCTTCTGTAATGTTTATACTCGTATATACACTGTAAAAAAATCGGTGTGAGTGAAAGCAATAAAGGTTCGGAGTGAATCCGTCGAGTAATATTATTTAGTACATTTTCAAAAAATCTCAGGCATTTTGATAATTTTACACATTTGTGATTATATTTAAACTAAAACTGAGTACTTTCACTCAAATATAGGTACCCCTTAAATAAATTCTTTACGTAAACTCGTATTTGATGCAGTTGTACCTAAATCAGAGTAAATGCACTTATTACTGACTGAGTTTAAATGTATATTAATTTCGAGTAATTTGAATGGCGCCGTGAAGATGGCACCACTTACATAATGCTTCTGTAATCTCGACCACAGTTGATAGGGACCCGTTAGATGCTTAAAAAAAGTCTCAGCCAGGACAGGAGGGGGCCCCACGAAGTGAATTAATTTCAATACTGTATATCTTAATTAATGATTTATTTTTGCACTCAATATTTAGTTAATTAAAAACCAAGTCTGAGTAAAAAGTGACTCGACAATAGTTAAATTTAAATCATATTAAAGAAAAAGTCAACTCTAAATTGGTTTTATATACTCAGAATAGAATCAAAAGTCGCTCAATTGATAGCAGTTAACAGAAACCAGAATTGAGTAAAACTCACTCATTTCTGATGCAATAGTTTCACTCAGTTGTACTCATACTAATAGAGTGAAAATTTCACTCAATCGGGAGTAGACAGAAATTGATACATTATTGAGTAAAATTGAGTGAAATTTGGGTGATTTTTTTTTACAATGTAATAGCTAACTAATAAATGAATAAACTATATTTTTTTGATAGGGGGTTTGTATAAAAAGTCTATATAATTCTCGTATAATCTGTAATATGTAATTCGTAATATGTACGGGGGTAGAAGTCTGAAATTAAGTGTCAAAATATTTTAGATGAAGAACAATAAATACAAGGTAAGAACTCAGTGGCGGCTCGCCGGGGTGGGCAGGGTGGTCAGTGCCCACCCTGAAATTTTCAGAAGAATAAACAAAAATTTGTGTATATATTTATCAAAGTGATTTGACAATTTTTATAAAATTAAATCTAAAATGCGTTATCTCCTTTGAAACTCCCCGTACCAAATTTTAAAATTATATTTTAATCGTGATCTAGGCAGCAACCAACATAACATTCGGGCTAGCCCGTGACCGCTGAATTAAACAACGCCGTACCCCAACCATACCTTGCATGCTTATATGCACCTAGGACTAGACAGTAATTGGAAACGTAAGTCGTTCACTAATTTAGAATATTTGGCCCAAGTCGGGCGAGCCCGCACACCGCAAACAGCTCGCATATACCCATTGAGCACCCATTGAGTGTTGTATCGACCACCTAAGACTTTTCACCAGTGGTTGAAAATATACAGGGTAGCCCATCGAAAACGTACCGCAAGGCATTACAGGGTAGTAATGAACCTTTCGGCAAAATCCAAAAACAGATAAAGTTTGCTTCTGAGGGGGCAACTTTTGGCGAAAAAAGCCGCCCGACTCCATTGGATTTCTTTTTATGGGGAAATTTAAAGAGGCTTGTGTATTCGATGCCAGGTTACACCAGGAAATACC